GACAATACGTGATGTTAAGAAGTAAGTACAATACAAAGTCCACGATAAACACCCCGGGAATGCCGAACAGCAAGAAAAGAAGTACATCTCTTCACGCCAAATGGCTCGAGTCGAGGGATACCCGCTCGACATGACACTGTGGCCCCGTGAGCATCGATGCCGAATAACAGACAGGCCGAGATGAAACCGGGAGGTGGAGGAAAGGAGGAGTTTACGTCCATCGAAACGGAAAGGCTCCCAATTATTCTCCCACTTTTCGGAGTTCCCCTAGGGAATTTGCATCATGAGTCGGGGGAATCTCGATCTACTCTTCGAGCACCGATTGTACACTACGCTCTGCGTATCAACTTGGGATAGCGGACAAATTGTAATACTCGTACTATCCTCGCGATCCAGGTTTTAAAAATAAAAATAAAAAGTGCCCTGGAGAAGGGGAAAGGGGTTAAAAAAAAAAAAAACAGAATTCCTTACAATAACGCGAGATACAAAAATCCAATATTCTCACCACTAGAAGAAAGAAGAAATTTTTGATGATCTGCAAGCTTCACTTCCTTCATCTGCAGAGTTTTTTTTTTTCCGTTGGTTTAAATTTTTTTTTTTTTTTTTTTCTTTTCAATCTCTAGATGCTCATTTCGGCCGGTCCCCATTCTCACATCGGGATATCGATCCAATCCTCGGCTTCTTCCACGGGCATTACCGGACACCCCGTAAGCGCCTTTGTGAATATCTGGGGGGGCAGGATCGTCGAATGAACCGTCGAGTGGAACACGGGGCTGGACGATACGAACGATGAGGGAAAAAAAATTAAAATAAATTTTGAGTTCGATAAGATACTGTACAGTACTCTCCTACTAGTATCTCTTAACTATTACTTACAAGTTATAAATGTAGCACATGTAAAGTAAAACCAAGTGGGAGAGAACAACTTGATTTTACAATACATTGGCTTCTGCTATTGAGATTTTTATTGTCATACAATTACCTTAAATTGCTGCCAGAGAGAAGTAATACATGGAGAAAAAAAGACATGGTTGGTATGCAAAAAAAAAAAATCCCTATTATAAAATACAAACAAATAGTCAATGACAATACTCATCAGATCCCCCCTATTTTCTTAGCATTCACTGTCCCTCAAGGATCAGGTCAGAGTTGGAGGTTCTCATCACTTGAGTTTGTGGTGTATCCCTCATATTCCCACAATTTTCTCTGGCCAAGCATCCTTTATTTTATTAGAAATGCTGGCTTAATATCCCCCAGATTTTACCCTCAGAATTTTATGTTTTTAAGGATTTTTCTCCTGCTTATATTAGTGTATTCCCACCCACCAGCTCACCTATTTTTCCATCCCACCAGTATATATTTTTTCCATATTTATGTTGGTAGATTCCCACTCACCTGTTGTAATTTTTTTTTCTGTTTATATTTGTAGATTCCCACCCACCAGCCCTCTCATAATTCCATCCTACCATATATAAATTTTTTCTCCTATATGCTAGTAAATGCTCATCTATTGGAGAAACTATAGTAGATTTTGACGCACCTAATATTCCATTTCCTACTTGTATCAGGATATTCCCACCCATTGTAATGGAACAGATAGGTCGGCTAGGTTTCCAAGGTACACACCACTCGGGCTTGAAATTTGGGACAGACAGAAGTGTAGATTAGGCAGAGAACAAGGCCAGGGACAAGACAGAAAACAGAACTGCTAATGGTACTGTCGGCAGCAGAAGGATCCAGGAATAAGGAAAACTGGATATGAGATGATGGACTAACTGGAGGACAGGACCGAGTGTAGTAGTTGAGTAAACTGATGTACAAGAAGAGATAACAGGTTGTGTGAAGAGAAAAGAAAGAAGGAAAGGAAAAAAAATAGCTGAGAGGAGGAGAGAGAAGAAAAGTAAGCTAACAGGCAACAAAACAAGGAGACATGATGTTGCCCTAACAGACACACCGATTCAAGGCAACAAGAACCTGCTCATCATCAAACATATGTCGAATATAGTATTCATGATATTAACTTCCACAAAACAACAAGGGAAGGAATAAAAGAAAGTAAAAAGAAAAGAAACATAAAAAGGAAAAGTAAGGAGAAAGAAAGGAAACAAAAAAAATAAAACAAAAGTGCATATATACTATGACACCTATCAGCCCTCCTATATTTTCTCCCTACCTGTACCTATTTTTCACCCATTTTTATTATTAAATTTTCCTTTCATATATCCATCTCCCCCTCTCCTGTTAATATTAGTATATTCTCCTCCTACTCACATTAGTAAAAATAAAAACAATAACTCAATTACCCATCCTCCTATAGTTTTTCCAGTTTGTTGTAGCAGGTTGCCCTCCCACTTATCCTTGCAGATTTTTTTCCAGCTTATATTGGCAGGTTACCCACCCACCTACTACAATAAACTAACCACCTATTTAGTGGGGCATATAGTTGCTGTAGTATATATTTCTAACAAAAATGAAGAAATTAGTATAAGACTATAAAATGAAAAATGAAAATAAGAGAAAAAAAAAACAAATATAGAAGTGGATAGAATGCAAAACAGAGGGAAAATAAGGTAATTAATAAATCTTCTATATAAATATGCCTTTAAGTGGCAATACTCAGGCTGTCATAGTATGGGTAGGTGATACTGATATTAAGTTGTATGTATGTATATGTGGAAGAGAGAATTGAAGAGAGCAATGAGGAAAAAAATAAGAAAAGAAGGGGAGAGGATGTCATTATATTATAGTCTAATATAGATCAGGCTCAGAAGTGCCAAGACAGGTCAGTAAAGGAAAAGAAGAAGAAAAAAATAGGGTTTAGACTTATACAAGGAGGAGGGAGGAGGAGGCATGTATTTAGGTATCATACAAGAGTATTTCAAGCATAGTAACACAAGCTCTTGATTCTGATACCATGCCATATCCAGCCACTCCTCCTATAAGAATACCCCTATTGCTGTGCCCGGTGAGTTAAGAGTAAGCTGTAATAAACAACATGCCCCATTAAATTGAAGTTGTTCAAATTTTAATACATTGTACACTATCATGAAGCAAACTGGTCCTCATGAGCAAAGCTCATACAGTGTCCAGCACTGAGAAATAACATATGATGAGTGCATGAAGGTCATTATCTTCCATGATTATGGAGGATGGAATTGGTCGAGGATTGATCTTGAATAGAATATCAATCGAAGAACCTGCCAAAAAGTAAGTAAGCTTTCATAAAGGGTTGAATTTATGTTAACTGATGGTAAATATAAAGATATACAAATGTGCTAAGGAAAATAGTTGAGCTGTCCGGCACTCCATAAAACTTTGATGGTCGCTTAGCGTCTTTCAAAGTAACGGGATCCTTGGCACGATTACAGTTACTTCCACCCCCACGAAAGTATTCCGAGAGCTAAAAGAAAAAGAAAAAGAAAAGGAAAAGGAAAAGAAAGCGCATTCCACGAGATATCCAATCATCAAGTGTCACTCCCTTCTTCATTTCATCAATCCAGCCATCCGAAGACATCCGTACAGCCACAGGGTAAATGAATTCTTCCTCGCACGAAAAGCCAGGAGAAAGGGGGTCATGTACCTGCAGCGGAAGGGTAAGCCGTACAGGAAGCCCCCATACCCGTAGCTGCCTAGCTACTTGTACTCGTACAATAACTAAGCTAAAATCTCACCCTCCCCCCGTATCATGCCGATATAACCCACAGGCGATAAACTTGTAGAAGATCCGAAACGAACTCTACGGAAAGAAAGAGAGAAGGAAAGGGAGGAAGAAGAAAAGTGATCTGCATAGTTGGCATCTTCCAACATGGAAGCTAGCCAAGGGGCCGCAGTTCCGCGTGAATTAGTGAACTCGGGGTATCTGATTAAAGTTGGAGCTCAAAGGCATAAGTGCGAGTACAGAATTGTACCCACCGGAGGGAGAGGAGTGGGGTGGGGGGAGCTCGATTGATTGATCATCCGTCTGAGCCCCAAGTTAGTACCTAAGTTAAGTCAGAGGCCAAGTCGAGACGAAATTGGTTCCTGGATTCCACCACCCCTTTTGGCTCACTTGCGCTTTTGTGTTAGTTTCTATTAACAAAGTACCTATGATACTCGTGTACAGTACCTTTGATCGGTGGCATAATCGACTCAAACATTTTGTTGGTTCTCAAAGGGCTGGCGCGAAATCCTTCCCCTCCCTTCCCTTCCCTTACAAGTATTCCCCAATCGTGGGGCGTGGTGGAGATGACGGATTGTGTGGTACGGCACAAGTACTGTACAGTACTGTACAGTACATGGTGGGCAGTGGAAGGCCAAATTAGAAAGATCTTCGGAGCCACGTTCTTGCAACGTTTTTTTCAACCCCCATCCCACCTAACCGCACCTCTACGAGTATTTTCCTGCCCCCCCCCCCCATACGTTTATGATAATTGCGACATAGATCTCGCTAGTTATTCCACTCGTAGGAGTGTACAGTACCGCATGCTTGTCAAAATATAATTTTAATATATTAGAAGAAGAAAAAAGTACAGTACGATAGAAAAGGGTCTCCCATGTTTTATTTCCGGGTGGGGGCTTTCCTGCCTGAATTCCCGAGTGCAACATTATGACGCAACCCTAAGTTGAACCATTTCTCATCCCGATTCTTTTGTTATCGTGTTTGTTCATTTTATTTTTTTGTTTGTGTTTTGGAGTGGATTGGGATTGGAATCTCCGGTGAGAATTTCGTGGTTTCAAACGGCACCCAATGGTCTTGTTGTATTCTAGTACTCGAATAAAACGCTCAACGTGATGCACCCTGCCGTCTTTTCCTTCTTTCCCTCCCTTTTCAAACTCGCTCCTCCCCGCGGACGAACCGGAGTGCTCCTCGCCGAGCGATCCCAACTCCAAGTGCGAAGTCCAAGTGGGTCTTACACCACAGTTTACGAGTGGAAATGCAGGGTATGTATCGCAAGGGAGAAACAACCGCTCTACCAGTACGTACGAGTTTTCTCACAGCTACCACAGCATGACTAGTAAAGCCAAAAAAGTAAATTTAAAAAAAAAAAAATATATAAGAGGAAAATAAAAAAAGAAAAGAAAAAATTCAAAAGACACCAGTCCACCTTTTCCCATACAAGCAACCAATCATTCGAGAAAAACCCAAACTCAAAGCACAATCCCCGAGCCCAAAAAAAAAAAAAAGCAAAACAAGTGACAAGTCCCAGAACCTCCGACCAATCAATCAATCACTCTTACTGGAACTCGATGAATTATCAAACCGCTTTCGAGCAACATCCTGCGCCCTCCTATCTGCGAAGCGTCTGTAGAAAATGGACTTCTCCATCTTGTCGCACGCGCCGGGCCAATCGGTGGTCCACTCGGGATGGAACGGTTTGTAGCCCAGGAGGCTCCCGAACCAGCGTCCGATAGCGATGCCCAAAAACTGAGCGAGGGTTTGGCCAAATGGGAACCATCTCGGGAATAACGCGAGGTAGGAGTCGCCGGCATCGAACATCTTTTTACATAGAAGTTGTCAGTTTAGTTTAAGGATTAAAGATGGATGGTTTGGGGGGGGTGAATGTCAGCTGAATGGGATGGGTTGTGAAGAGAAAAAAGAAAATAAATGTGATACGAGATGGGTATTTGTTTTTCTTTCTTCCCATTGCTCGGATGGATGAGGCCGTTGGTGCTAAGACTTTTTTCTCGGCTGGGTAAGGGTAGCGATGCGGATGATGCTTGTTCGACGGCTATGATTCGTGATTTAGGAACGCCCGGGTGGGTTTCGAGAAAGATGGTCGGTGGTTGTCTCATCACAGCCAACCCAGCGCAGCCAGTCCGGACTGTCCATCCTGCCTCCTCATCCCTCTCCAACGTACCTCTTACTCATTGCTAAAAATGCATGGGTAATACAAGCACCACCGGCCGAGGAGAAGAGGAGGAGGAGCAAGAACAGAACCGAGCAATCTCAAAAGAAGCAATAAGAGTAAAAATAAAAAGGGACGAGAAACAACACAGGGAAGGAGTGAGAAAGAAAGAAAGAAAGAAAGAAAAGTAACAAAATAGGATGAAACAAAGATCCAAAAAGTGAATCCAAAAAAAGGTTATCCAGGGGAGGAGGAAGGGGACAAAACGGAATCCTCACATTCATAACCTGAATAATATCAATCTTCCCCTCGTGCATCAGGACATCATTCTGATACCCGTACCAATTCTCGAAAAAGCATTGGTCGACAATCAACGACACGCCGGGGGCATCGCTAGCGCTGAGGTCGAAGATCAAGTTCTCCTCGGAGCCGGGGGTCGGCCAGAGTCTATGGTAAGGGCCCGGCTCGATGCAGACTTCGCCGCTCTCGGCGGAGAGCACGCGCTCGGCCCCTTCCACCTCGATCGTCACCTTGCCCGAGATGACTTGGAAGAACTCGGCCTGGTAAGGGTGAAAGTGAAGGGGAGGCTTCTTGCCGGTTGCGGCGATGGCCTTGAGGCGGGGATGGTTGACATGGAATGTCACTCGGAAAAGGAAGGAACGGCCTTTTGGCGGGGTAATGTTATTGATCTCGAGAGCGCCTTCGAAGCTATTGTTCCGTGTATGTAAGCAGTTTGATTCAATGCAGGTGGGAGGCGGTAGGTAGGTTGTGAATAAGCGGACAGGGTGAGGCTGAGTGGATTAGGGGAGTCAAACACTACGAGGGGATTCTGTCCCGCAGTAAAGCTCTTTGGTACGCAAGGGGCCATTGAGTCGATTGTCGTCCGAATATCAAAAGGAACAAGATGACGATGATAATAATAATAATAATTATTATTATTATTATAAAAAAGTCTTTATCCTTTTTTCAGTCTCCGGGTGAACTCTGATCTTCCTCTCCTCTATCAAGGGGAAAAAGCCAACCAGTGGCCAAAGGCCCCTTGATATAGGATGCCTTCCGAATGCTAAGGCACAACTTCTTCCGAACGAGTCCACTCACTACTAACAGATGCCCCATCTAGAATAGGTTCGCAAAATAATACCAACCCCATCCAACCAGCACAAGAATCCCTACTTGCCGCAACTCCCCCCTCCCCAGCAGATCCATTCCCGCGAAACAACCAACACCGGTCACGACGGTTAGAGTCACAATCGTCAGCTGATGGGGGCACCGTGATGCAACCCAACCATTCCCGCGTTGTTGTTGTTGCGTGACAGCGTGACGTTTGGTAGGGGACTGGAGACCTCGACCTGTGGTGACCCTTCCACCTTGGACATAACAACCGCATTGAACCGGTCTCTAGTTATAACAACTTTTTTTCCCACCAGGACGCCACGCGGGCCGCGTGATTTGGACCGTATGATGTAGTTGTTGTGTTTTTCATTCCTTATTCCATACCCTCCGGCCGAAGGGGAAGGGATAGAGAAACAGGGGGGGGGGGGATTTGTTATGGGAGGTTGTACATTATGTACTTGTCACTAGGCAAGGCAAGGCAGGCAGTCAGGCAGGATGGAATACGGGAGGAGGAGAGTAGGTGGTTGGATAAATAGTCAAAAAAGCCCATATTTCCCGTGCGTTTACAGCAATTGGAGAGAATTCCCACCTAATCACGGCAAAGCGAGAAGTACTCATGGAATGATGAGCCTTCTCCTATATTTCTTTCCTCCCACTTCCTCCACGCGATGAGTTGGCCGCGGCTCAGGTGAAAAATCCCCTTTTTTTATGATACTTTGTGTGCAAAGTAACTTTTGATACACCGATTTCCACGTCCACAACGACTAGGCTATTTTTAATCCCTCATAGGCCAGCATCGGCTCTGTGCACGGTCACCGCCTGTCGGGCACATTAGTTGACGTTGAAGCGGTCGGTCGGTCGGTCGGTCGGAGCTCGCAATCGGGGTGCGTACGCACCCCCCCCCGTTCCACGCTCAACGCTTGTGGCGGAGGTAAGCGTGGTAAACTTTCCTTTACCTCCGTCCCGTAGGGGGCTTTCCCTTGCCGACGGCAAGCAGGACGAGAGAGAAGGCGCTAGTTTTCTTCTAGACTACAGCCGAACAATTATCGGGACGTTGCATTTGAATTTAGCGCTGGTTCAATCGCCGGAACTTTGGTGAAGCGGGAAAACTACGGGTATCGGCATCGTATCTTACGGTACGGTGCTAGGCCGGCCGGGTAGGCAGGCCTGGCTAACTAAGGTTTACTAGCCTAGCCGCGATAGCCGGGAACTCTAAATTGACCATGTTCTTAACCGTCACGGTCTAGTTAAGGTACTGTGCTCGAGTAGTTTAAGCTTGAACCTCTCTCTTGACCGCTAACGGGCTTAGCTTGGTTTATGGAATTTCCCTCGTAATATGAGCAATTGGTGCATGCACCGTTTTTGACCAAGACCCATATTGTACCCAAACTGGTACGGAAAGTGCCAGAGGGGGGGGCGGGCACGATGGATAATTGAAGCTTTCTTCCAAAGCGTATGCTCCCACGGTATTCTGCGAGGCCAAATAGCCCCGTTGCTCACAATTACCGTACAAATTCGAATGCAAAGACCGGTTACCAAAGCGCGGTGCGGTATCATCCATGATGATACAGCTACGGTACTGTACTCGAGTAAAGTAGGGTACTCACTTCCACGCGAGCATTGCAGAGAGCTTCACCGCCTCATCCCTCCTCGCACCAATTCGCCTCAGACTGATACCGGTACTTGTGCACACGGGGCAAAATTTTCGGCAATTCATCTTGACCGGCCTCCTTTCTAGCCACAATTCCACAAGTACCGTGACATCTACCGGTATCACACAAAGGAACAGTTCGAGTTGCCGATTATTAATCACTTAGGATCCACTCGGGAATCCGGCATTCAACGTGACGTCGAAAGGATTTGTACTCGAGTACCCTTCAAAGCAGTCAAGCCGTTAGACGACAAGAGGTTGTCGCCTTTTTTTTTTCTTTTGGGGGGAGGGGGGGGAGGGAGGGGATTTGGGAGAGCGAACTCTATCTCAATTAACGTACGTGGCGGAAATAGCCACCACACGTGGGTTTCATGGTACAAAGTGGCTTTCCGCTGTCAGGAATTACTCCACCACCCGCGAGCTGCGAGTACGAGTAGCCCCAACATTAGCCGTGTACGAGTAGGGTACTCGAGTACCTAAAACATTATGCGATGCATGCGACATCATGCCACGAGGTAGACAGGGATAGGGAAGGTGAGGGATGGAAGGGGGGGAGGGAGAGAGAGAAAGGGTTCGTGAGTGGAGGAGAAGGAGGATGGATGTTCATGGGACGGGATGTGGATGGGTGGGAGGGGCAGTTGCAGGCCACGGTGGGTGGGTGGGTGGCCGCGGTGCATGAGTGGGCCGGCCGCTTGGCCATGTTCTTCCCATGCAGTGCCATGGAAGCGAGAGGGAAGCGAGCGGGATATGGGCTGGAATGCAATTCGTCGGATAGGAGAGGGGGAGGGATGTGGTGCCAACCGAGGGGGAAAGGGGAGGAGGGCAACTGTGGGGAAAGTAGCGAAAAAGAAAAAAGAGGTCATGATGGAATGAAAGAGAAGAATGAAATAAAACCCCGAATTTCATGCGTTTTACGCCAAGTGGGAGCTTCCCTTCCATGTACAGTACCGTTGATGCAACGATTGCGAACATTTTGCGGGATCATGTCGAATTTCGGGGCCTGCCTTTCGTGGGATTCTCCGGGTGACTGATTTGGAAACCTTTACAATACAAGAGAAACGAAGCTTCGATACCGGTACTCGTATGCGAGCGGCGGATTAAAAAAATGAAAAAGGAGGGCGTGGATGGGAGGGAGGGAAAAGGGGAAAAAGGAACGAAAGGGAGAAAGGGGAAAAAGAAAAGAAAGTAAGAAAGAAAGGAAAAAAAGGAACCATATCTCGATCCTTAATCCAGGTTTATATACCGAAGCGTCTACTCGTATTAGCTTCTACTCCTACTGCATGCTTGGTACCCGATTCCGATTGTGTCGTCCTGAAATCCACTGCGGAAGGGCATGATAGGAAGCAGGAAAGGGCGAATACACATTTAATGCATAGAGAAATGATACTTCTTTTCCCTCCTCCAACCTCTGATAACTATAGTTAGCTCTTGTGTTCGTATAACGACTTTTCTCTCTCTCCTGTTCATGCTGTATAACGCACAGCGACAATAACAATAACAATAGAAAGCCAACAAAACTCTCGCAACACTTATCGATGATTATTATACTACGCTTTGACGACAAGGAGTTTTTTTTCTCGTTTCCAGGAGTTAGTTTTACTTGTAACAACTTTTTCTTTTTTCTTCTTCTTTTTCGAGGGTCCAGTATCCACGATCCCGCTCACGGACTCAGTATCGGGCAAGCCTCAGTTTGCATATTACGATAAGCCATATTTCAATTTCACGCAATCTTTACCCTCGGAGGTTTATAACGAAAGCCCACGAGGAGGGAAGGGGGGCTGACGGAGGAAGGAAGAACTAGAAGGTCACCGCCGGTGTACAGGTGTGTGTGGGGGGGGTCCTTGTAAGATCAATGGCGAAGCTAAAAAGATTATTTCCAACCTAAAAAATAAGCAAGCCAAAGGGAGTCGCAAGACAGGACAGGACAGGACAAGGACAAGGACAAGGACAAGAACAAGGGGGAGGAGGGGAGTTCTCGTCTATCGGATCGCTATGGTGAAAGAGCCAAATTGATTTTTGGGTTGGAGTTAGACTAGACCGCTCAAAGAACCAAGCTGTCATAATTATAATCATATTATCATATTATATCGTATCGTGTCATGGATGTGTACAGTACGAGTACTCGCACAGTACTCGGGAGAAGTAGGCAACTTGCTCTTCTCACAACGCTGTGCCATAGCTTTGTTTTCATGCGGTGCTCTCTCTCCTTCCTCCTTCCTCCTGGCACTTCGATAACGCTCCGCTCAAACCCAGCTCGGGATCTCGCGCACAGTAAGTTTGGCAACGCGGGACAATGAAAAAAAAAAGAGGTTGTACGAGTATCATACATACTAGTACAGAATAAGGGTGGAATGTACGAGTATCCCCAGCGATCCACGCTACCCCTGCTCAATTCCACGCTACAGCAACGCTACCCAACTCCGGTACTGGAAAGAGCCGGCGTAGGGAAAAAAAAGGAAATCAAGACACCACAGAAGGGAGGAGATAGGAACTAGAAGGCGGAAAAAAATAAAAATAAGAAAAACCTCTCGCAATGTTGGTATTAGGTGGCGCGTTACCCTAACCATTCGGGCCAAGTTTTGATAACCGGTTTTGTCTGTCGCCATGGACACACACCAGAGGGGGGGGGGGAAGGCGATTAGTCAAGGGAGTGTTTCTCCTCCTCGAACCCCCACGCTTTCCCGAGTTAAACAGATGTTCGGGACCACCGCTGTCAAGCTATTGGATTTGTTTGAATGTTGAGCAGGGAACTGGGTAGTCCTGGGTACCACGGTATGTTTGAGAGGGACGGTAAAAAGGTGAAATCCTTCCCTTGGATCTATTTCCTCTCCCCTGTGCTCTTCCGCTCACCTACCCCCCCCTCTCCCCATTGACTCTAATCCTCCTCCCTCGCTCACCTTCTACCCTATCACGATGGCCTCTGGCAAATGTGATTGCCATAAACTTGAGCCAATGCACAATTGCACAAGCCATGTGTTGGTCTACCTTCTGATGGAAGTGCAAGTTTTCTAATTCTCCTCCACGGAGGTTGGAAGGGGGAAATGCCCCGTCAAAGCGAGCTTAAGTTGACCCTAACAAGTTATTGTGGAAGAGTAGAGGAGGGAAAGTTGTGAAAGGTACTGAGAGCTAAAACTGATTTTTGTGGTTGAAGGTTAGGTTATTATTCTAAAGGAAACCGGTGAGCTTGATTTTCATTCTTTTGTTTTTGACGGGTAACTTAATTTGTATGATAAGCCCCTCCTGCACCTGTACCTTGGGATCACGAGCACGACATGACGAGAAAAAGAAAAAAAAAAGCGACTTGAAAAAGGAACAAAAGGTTAGGAAAAAACGTGCTGCCTCCATTCTCCTAACCCCCCCCCCACCGATCTTGCGTTCTTTTGTTCCCTTTGGGTGGAAGAGTATACGGACATCATCTTCTAGATGCTTACCGTACCCAAACCGCTGGGAATTCGGAGAAAGCGCGCAAGTAGGTAAATACTGTTTGCGGAAAAAACGGAGCGAATAATCAATCTGTAGAAATCACCGAACCTAACTTGTCACTTGCCCGAATGGGCCTTGGTTGATTTATTTGACATGCTGACTGACCTGACTGGCTCACCACGGAGAACTAAGATAATATGATGAAAACTAAAAGATAGAAAATATCTGAACGCGGAAAAAAGTAAAAAAAAATTCAAATTTGAACGAAAACCTGAGAGAGAGGCAAGACATAGTTTCTTGATTGATGGTGGTACTCGAGTAGGCGGTATCACTTTATCAAAGTGCTAACTGCTTGAGTGCGATGGTACTTCCAGGGTGTTACTGCCGTAGCACGGTCCGAAGCGGAGGCCGCGTTTTGGGGGCACCGGGGGTAGGTGGGGAATGTACTAGTACAGTACTGTACTACTAGTTATAATACAGTACAGTACTCCAGTGGCCAAGGTAGTGTTCCAGAATGGATGAGAAACTACCGGTGATCCCAATTCTTTCCCGAATCATCTCGGGCGAGTGCTAAACTAAGAATGGTACCGGTAGCATATATTCCTGATGAAGGGGGAAGGGGATGAGAAGAGAGAGGGATAAAAAAGGAAAAAAAAAGTGAGAAATGAAGAAACACTTACATGTACGAGTACTGTACGAGTACTGGACTTTTTACGCAAGAATCCGACAGTGTCTTTTTTTTTTCTTTCCCGAAGATGACCACCGTGCGCTCGCATTCTTTGCTATTCGCTCAAGATGCGTCCACTGTTGAGCTTTCCTTTCCTCCAATGATCCACTGTGGGGTGGAGCAGTCTTGCCTGTATGTCTGTCTATCGGGATGTCAGGATGAATCAATGAGGTGGGGGATCAGTATTCACTTTTTTTCTTTTCTTTTCCGATGTCCCTATTTACTTTTTTTTATCTCAGTTTGGTACTTGTACGGTAGGTCATGTTCCACAGACTGATGTTTCAGCGAAGGAGATAGTGAGAATGGGAGAGGCGAGTGAGGGAGCACAACTTTGTTAGAACCAGGAACCTGTATTTCATTTTTTACATCTGCGGAATAACATTAAGTTAAGCTGCCTACTGTACGAGTACTATGGTAACGAGGGAGTACCGGTACGGTTACCTTACTCCATCGTCTAACTTCCCATGGGTCGCCACAATCCCCCCCCCTCCCCACATCCACACGAGCAACGTCCAATGGAAGGGGAGGCCAAAAAACCAGTTTAGGTTAGTGAGATAGAGAGCAAAGCATGAGTTCCAAAGGACCAGAAAAGAAGAAAAGAAAAAAAGAGTGTAACACTCTATGGTAACTTCCCTTCCGAACAGAACGGACTGATATTCGTGAACGGCATGGGTTTGGGGGGGGGGGGGGTACCTGCCTAGTGGAGGATGGAGGGAGGGGGGGGTAGTGCCATACCCGTACTAGCAACCACCAAATCCAGCAGCAGTACTTAAGGATGATGAATGTCCATCCGTTTTTGAAACTTCGACGGACCTGAAAGCTTCTTCGGCTCTCAACCAATTTTACCAACCGAAAAGAAAAAAAGCTTTGAACTGGAAAGCTAAAAAAAACCAAAAAGGGTTTTCGCAAGATATAAGTCCCTTTTTGTTTTAGTTTTTTTCGAAGTCTCTTTTTTTTTTTTTACACTTTTCAATTTTCGACAATCTTCTTTTTTTTTTTGCCTAGCACTCCCCCGCAGGAAAAGATTACCGGAAAGAAGAAAGGAAAGAATATAGACAATTGTTACGATATCAATCCCGGATTTCTCTCGAATTTTCGGCTTTTTAAATATATTTCGGTCTTTTTTTTTTTTTTTTTTTTTTTTTTTTGAGGAAGGAAGAGAGAAAGAGGAAGAGGAAATAGAAATAGAGAGGGAAAAGAAAGAAAGAAAAATGGCTACACCACAGGCTACGACGAGCGCAGAGGCTCTTCCTCCTTGGGATGGGAAGGAAGCGAATTATGTCACTATCACTGCTTTGATTTTGACGACCTTGTCGTGGATGGCTGTTGGTGGGAGGTTATTTGCTCGTAGGAAGTTCTCGACTTTCGGCGCTGATGATTGGCTTGTTATTCCTGCAACGGTGAATAATTGCTCCCTTCTCCCGCTCTCTCCTCATAGCTTTCGACATCATAATATATATCCCATATCCCGGGGTCTTGGTACGGGAACAAAATGGAAGGGCCAGGGCTAATTTTCGATATTTCTAGATTCTGGTAACGGTGAATACCTTCATGGCATGTTATGCCGACTTGAACGCGGGTATTGGCAGGCCTTTGTGGGCGGTTTCGGCAAAGCAGTTTGAGCTCTGGTTCAAGGTTTGTTCACAGTATCTCTAGACACATATAGGTCCAGTGACACCGGTTAACGAATGTCATCCCATGACGCAGTGCACTCTCGCCAGCAGTTTTCTCTACCCAGTGATGATGAGCACAGTGCGAATCTCAGTGCTTCTCTTCTACCGCCGCCTCATTGGCCCCACCTACCAGACGCTCCAGTACTGTATCAAGGCACTCATCCTCTTGACCATCCCCTACGTCGTCACTTATGAGTTCCTCCTCGGCTTCATGTGCAAGCCCCCATCGTCCTTCTGGAAGCCGTTCCAGCGCAACGCGGACTGTGGGGATGTCTACTACTACAAACTACACATCACTCTGTACTCCGTCAGCTTGGTATTTGATATTCTCATCTTGGTGTTACCCTTGAAGGCCATCTGGGAGTTGAAGATGCAGAAGCGCCAGAGGGTCTTGGTCTGCGCTTTGATTGCGTTGGGTGCTTCGTATGTTCACCTTTGGGCACTGGGACTAGGAAAGGGTAAAGGGGCTAACGATGAACTACAGGGCGTGCTTCGGGATCGCATACAGACTTGCTCTCTGGGTTCTGGAAATGAAGAGATACCCGTACATTGACCCAAGATGTGAGCTCTATTACCCCCTCTCGCTCCCCCCGCCTTATACATACCAACACACAAACCTTTAGGGACCGCCAACCCCCTCAGCAAGGTCATCCCACCTCAGTTTGACCGTTATGGCTGGACCTACTGGGTTCCCTCCCTCCTCGAGTCCAACATGGCCATCATTGGCGCCTCACTACCTGCGCTCAAGCCTCTACTTACTCAGTATAACTGCCTCCAACGGAGCAAGTTCTCCAAGTTCTCCCAGGGCGGTAGCGGCGGCATGACGGACCCGAGCGACACCAAGCGCTCCCACGGAATCCAGCGCCCGGGACCCTACAGCGAGCAGATCGGCAGCAACAACGACTCCATGGAGCTTCTCCACGTCGACGCCGTTGGCGGCACTTTCTCCGGCACTTATCCTGTCAAGCACTCCCACGTCACTACTATCAAGGCGGACGTTCGTGATGATCTGTCCACCGATTCTGTACTACCCGGGAGTATTGTGCAGACCAGTACTGTTGAAGTCAGGGTTTCCGAGAAACCTTAGGAATCGAGATGGAGTTGGGAGTGGAAGTGGTGATGATGATGATGACGATGGGTGGTAATGGTGGTGGTTTGTACCTATGATTTCCGGTGTGTGTGTGTGTGTATGCGCATGTGTTTTTCTATGGGAGGCTCTATGATATATTTTGGGCCCGGGTCAGGGTTTCTTTTTTTTTTTTTTTTTTCCTCTCTCTGTCCGGGGTGTGGGTTAACAATGTCTGGTTGGTTTTTTTGGTTTAGGTATTAAGACTACAAGATGTTATAATGAATGCAAAAGAAGGTTTTGATAGTCTTGTCGTTCTTTATTCATGTCTTGCAGGTTTGCGCGGTTCCGCTTCCGCGCTGGTTCGGGATCGGCCTTTACCAAGGCGAGAGGAGAAAGAGCGAGATGTCGTGGTGTATCTAGCATGTGTTTTCTCAAACTCTTAAGTGATACAAGTATAGTACAAATAGACAAGCCTTTTTTCCACAATGCCAACCCGGGTTAAATTTACTCAGTATCACAATAGGATTACCAAATCCGTAACAAAACCCCAGTCAAAAAACAGAAAGAAAAAAACGCCAAGTCTACTTAGTCACCCACCATATTAACTCTAGTCTACAAAGTACCGTAGTCTACAGTACAGTACAGTAGTCCACGGCACCCACCACCCACCCACTCACCGCCATAAGACGGGGAAAAACATCACACAATCCCGATCCGAGCAACCGGTAAGCGACCGTAAGGACAACAACAACTCCATCAAAAAGAAAAAGAAGAAAAAGAAAAAACGAGGCGAGACAACAACAACAACCAATCACTCGTATCCTATCATGTATGATATCCATCGAAATCGAGTTCGCACAGACTCCGTTTTGAGGAGAAGAGAACCTTTTTATAATGTAGGTTATCCTATCCGAACACTCACACAACACTTTGAACAACTCGAGCAGGGGATTGGTATTTTTTTTTTTTTTACTTTTTGCACGAGTACGAGTTAGGTTATCGTACCGTAAACTGGATGATGGATGGATGTGGTGGGGGAGCCCGGAGTCCGGCATTGGTGGAGATTCCGTGGTGGTGGATTTATCGTTTTTCGAGGTATCTGTTCTTACCCGGTCCCGGAATACACACACGCAAGAATACTAAGGGGGAATCTTTTTGTTCGTTGGATGCTGTTGCCGTCAGGTTTTTACTGTGGTGTTCTATTATAAAAGAACTTATTCTTTCCCATTCCTTCTCGCTTCCCCTTTTCCCCTTTCCTATCGAACTGTATGAGTACAAGTATAGATACTTGTACATGTCTCTGATTGCGAAATTTCCGTTGCCGAACCCCGTGAACATGGCTGGCTGGCTGGCCGTGTCTTGGCGCTACATACAAGTACGAGTACTCGTTGCATGGATCATGATTCGCGGAGTGATGATAATAGTCTACTCGTAGCGTAACACAGGAATACATTTACCCTACGATTACTCATGAGTGGTGAGCGCTTAAAATGTGTGTGCCAAGATGGGTGCATTTTTTCTCTTTTTGGTGAAGGGGAATGGGTTTATGGAGAAAAAATCATATATACGAGTATGGAGTGTGTTGGGCAAGGCTTCAGCTGAAGCTTGTATGGTGCGAAGAATATACGGACGCTTTTCAGCGGTATTTGGCAATGATAACTAAAAGTACTTGCCCAAAATATTTCCCGCCACAATAGCTACCGTAGGGGGAAAAAAGTTGGATAGATAAAACTGAATACGGAACACGGTACAAAGTACTGTACGGGTACCTTCAGAGTTCATCCCCACCACTTCCCTCCCAAACAGGGCATCACAAGAAAGCACCCGCCTTGGCAAGATACACCTTCTACAAATTACCGGTACTCTACTGAACTCGGTAAGCGCCACGCACCACAAGCACTGGGGCGCAAGCGTGTCAAGTGCGTGTAACGTGAAAGTCCTCGCTCAGAGAGGAATCGCCCCACCTCCTTTCGGAAGTGCGCCTGACAACTTGTCGATGGGCTAGTACCGGTACAGTATATAGTAAAGGCCTTTATTCGAGTATAATCTAAGAGTGCTTGTACCACCGGAATCTCTACGAGCCATGATAATCTCCGGATTCTAAGATGGGAATTCCGGAGAGGGATTAGCCGTTTTCCTGACATGGTATGAGATCGGCCAGTGGATGTGCTCGAGTAAGGTATTGGATGGCATTAATCCGTGTGCGCAATTCCCTTGACCCACCTATCGGACTATCTGTATTGGGCTGGCGGGATGATCTCCGTTGGTCCCGGTAAGTGGATTGTACGGTACTCGAGTAAAGGGTTTTTTCATCGTACGGTAGGGTACTTGTACTCTAGTGCAAGTACTCGTACGTGTATTTGCTGAAAGTGAGAGTTGCTGGTATCTACGCCGAGGCATGTGGACTATCTGTTGTCGAATGGGGGTAAAAAAAGGGGGATCAGAGGTTGACAGCGAAAGTCTCTTGACTTTAGCTGTTACTGGTTTGTCAAACGCTGCAAAAACTTGCCGGCATTATTCTCTAGATATTGGTGGAAATGGTATCCAAGAGGAGATCTGGGAGATGGATCCAGCGAGAAGAATCACTTCCTGGGCAGTGCCTATAATAAAAAGTTTGCTTTTTGTTATTTTCTTGATTTTTGTTTTATTTTTGGGGAGGGGTGCGGGCTTGCTTGGATATCACGACATTAGTTACACTTTAACTAACTCCCATGATATTTGAGTAGGAGAACAACCATAAGGCGATCTCAAAGACCAATATTGGATAGCGTCTCTCTCTCTTTCGGAACCCTCGAGAAAGTTATTTAAGAACTCATGTCTATTTAGCTGCGCTATACGACCTGAAAAGCAAGCAGACTTTCCTGGTTAGTACCAACAGAAACCCGTGGGAACAGGAACACTTCACCTAAGAAGGTAAAGTCTCTTTGTGACTAAGCACAAAAAAATAAAATATGCCGTCACCTTTGGTCCAAAACAGACTTCCATAGCACAACCTTGCTCCATCTTCTCATTCGCCACAAACAGCAACATATGCCTAGCGATAGACATCCAGAAACACTGGGCACATTTCGGGCCCAAGGAAAGACAAAAAAAACCCAAGATTAGCGGAAACTCTCAAGTTTTCGCAAGTCCGTACTGTACCAATACAAGTATCACGAACCCTGTAAATTCGCCCCTGCAATTGGTGATGACACCGGGAACCCATGGCGCAGGAGCGGGTTGATCAGATTGCTTTTTGTTTGGGGCAAAGGTGAAAGGGAGCCTCAATCCCTGCTCGCTTTCTCGCGGTTTTTGCGATACGGTTTGATGGGTTGGGGGGGGGTGACTCCAGATGTTGCGACAGGAGCTGCTTCAACACCAAGATCGCGTCAAGTTTCAACGGTGAGATCAAACTTGAATGCTTGTTGCACTGTCGTCGGGAATCGATAGAGGGTTTGTTGTAGAACGGGGAGGGCCTCGTTAGTTTCGTGCCAAGATGTATTTTGGTGGAGCAAAAGGGGCTCTTAATTCGTACCGTAGTCCATGCGGGGGAGCATGCGAATTTGTTTAGGCCGGGTCAAAATCCTACTATTGAGAGAGTAATAAATGGGCGAACTTTAGCATGTATGGAATAGTGACATCCTATTTTGGTTAGTAACCGTGGTCAATTTTGAAATAATGCTAGGAAACCCGCCAAGAAATCTCCTCTGTATCATATGTCTCCCATAATCTGGGCGCCTGAGGGGGTTGTAGTATTATAGTTGTTTCTTTCTTCTTTGCTTTGGGTTTGGTGCACTCTCGTGGAAGGTAAGAAAGTACCTATTCGATACAGTAACAGGGCAGCAGATACGCACGGATTCTTCGCCATATTATACGAATCCCTGCTATCGGGTACCTCCTACCTACTACGGGTACCCTAACTGCACGGCAGTGGCAGATTGACTGGGTAGTGCGGCATGACATGGGTGGTGGATACTGTGATAGAGTGGGGGGTAGATGGGGGAGGGGGGAGGGGCGGTTCGCTTGGGCTAGCGAGCTTGGGGGGAGGCGATGAATTTCGGATTTGTTTGCGGTGATTTCTTGCCATGTGTCGCCCGAATTTCATCCCACAGTGTTTATTGTTCTCGCAAAGGTATCGTCTTATTGAAAAAGTACCGTGCCGCAGGTGTGTGGTTTTGGAGTTTCTGTGTAGTGTTTATTAGATGTGATATTAGTACAGCGCCACCGTATCATACAAGTACTGTACTCGAGCACTCGTAGCGTTCGTGCCGTATCTTCCCGTTGCGCTACGGTGCCGAGAGTGGATATGTATGTGTGTGAGAGCATGGTGCCCGTATGTATGTGCGCGGAATACTGGTATGGGGTGGGGTCTAAGGGAGGTCTGAGGGGAAGAGGGGAAGGGTCTGAGTGATTGATTGATTTCCTGATCTACTGAAGGAGGAGGGAGTGAGAGAAGGTGGTGTCAATGTGGATGGTGGTAATGCCCACGTTGTTTGGAGATGCCATTATGCCGTACTCGGAGGTGGTGCGGCTGATGGGCCAGTTAGGTGAGAAGACACAAGAAGAGGAAGAAGGAAAAACGGAGGGCCCAGGACCTGGAGGTGGGGAAGAAAAAACAAAGCAAAACAAAGAGCACTATCTCTACGCTATCGTACTGTATTCAAACCGGAAGTGAGTTATCGGTTCGATTGGATATCTTCACGATTCTCAAGTTGGAAACTGGAAGCTGTTCAAGACATTCAAGAAATGTACTTTGTGACCAGTGGAACATATCCCGGCACAAAAAGAAAGGAAGAGTCAATTTAAACCGTGGTATCTGCTCGTGTGATTTTCTTGGAATCGATGGAATCGGTCAATTGTTTATGATACGCTGCGATGGGTAGCCGGATTGTTTCTTGGTTTATTGCGGGGCCCACCGCTATGAACCAGAGCCATCCAGCTAGAGAGGTACAGTAAGGTAGCAACTAAATACATCCAGATCCGATATCTCTCCCCCCCCCAAACCCAACCCCACCCACCATCCGGCCCATTTCTCTCCCCTCCACTCTAAAACTGCGGTTCGTCCCCGCGCCATTACATACAATATATATCGAACCTGGGAGTGAAAAAACAAAAGGAAGACAAAAAAGGAGGGTGAATATTACAAAGAGGTAGGAGCGGTCCAACAGCGGTTCGGTAACCTTTTTCACGCAAAGAAGGGAAAAGAGACAGAGGAGCACGCCAAAGATCAGAGGGAAAGGGAAAAGAAAAGAAGTAATAGACAAGTAAATAAACATAAAGATATATAAAAAAGCAAAAACTACCAGAAACACCAAGAACACCCCTCCTTCCCTAACAGCTTATATACTCTGCGATGGGTGAATATGAAAGAGAGAAAACGCATGCACAAATACGGAGACACAGATAAATGACCTGAGAGAACTTAGGGGACCTTGGACAGTAGATAACCATCGCTCTGCAAAATCTGAGCAATCTGCTTGGGATCGTACTTATGGCTGATAGTCCTCATCTGTGCGATATTCGCAGGGGGATAGCTGGCAATAGGGTTCTGGTCCCTGGAAGCATCGTTGGTGTAAATGTAGGGATTTCCGAACCCCATAGCATTAGAGACCTCACTCCACTTATCCGTGACAGCCTTGCCAGCCGCTCGAACAGCGGTGTCATCAGCAGCATTGTCCCAATCGATGAGCATGGTGAACCATTGCTGTGTCTGACTAACGAGGCCGAGAGTGTTTCCACCGGTGCTCGTCCCGAAATCTACAGCGCTCTTAGAGAAGGACTGGATGGAGAAGGACATGTCTGCGCCCGTAGAAGCCTTGATTTCGAGTGCCTTGGACTTCCAGAATGAGTAGACAGTTTTGTACATTGTAGCGTCGACACCGGTGCTCACGGCGCGGTAGTCGTGGCGGGCGGGGACCGGAGAGAAGGCGGCTGCGAGGGAGGCAACGAGCTGGTAGTGGGTTCCGTTGGTAGGTGCCGCGAAGTTCCCGATGCAGGGGATGCTGAAAAAAGGTGAGAACGCCGACGGGAAGGGTGTGGAGACGGTGCCAGCGTATATGTAGCCAACCAATGTCACTCCGGTCGTTGCACTGAAGACGAAACCGGCCTTCGTGTCTTGTACTTCACTGTTCTTCTGGAAGTCCTCGACGGCATCGAGGAGTGCTGGGGTCTGGTCTGCTGCATATACTCGCACCTCGTACCAGATTTTCGCGAGGTCGTTGCGAGTGTACATGTCGAAGCGGGTTACTATCCCAAAGTTACCGGAACCACCCTTTAGCGCCCAGAATAGATCCGAGTTCTGAGCAGCGTTTGCATTCAGAATTTTAGAATCGGGGGTGACAACCTAGGACCAACAAAGTGGGTCAGTCTCAGCTCAGCCCAATTTGTGGCTGAACACGGATGGGAATTAAAATTATTTCGAGACATATTTTTCTTCTTTGCTCGTCATCCTTGTATCAAGTTCACGTACCTCGAAACTTTTAACATTATCGCAGGCTAATCCGTACCGGTTCGCGAAGAAGGAGAGCCCTCCACCTAGGATCAAACCGCCAACACCTACTTGCGGGATTCTCCCACCGAGGACAGTGGTGTTCCTCTGCGCGAGGTAATCGTAAACTTCAACCCATTTGAGGCCGGGACCGATACTTGCGACGGTCCCGTCGGTGCTTAAAGATATGGTCCGAAGCTTCGACAATTCGATGAGCACCCCTCCATCCGTATTGGAGTACCCAGGATTTGGCGTGTGTCCACCGCTGCGCACCGAGTAGTTCACGTTGAGGAAGTCGATGATTTTCATGGCGATGGAGACCTGTTGAGCTGAAGTCGGCGAAACAATACATCTTGGTTTGAGCCAGCATGTCTTCGACCTATTCACAGCTCAAAAATGTAGAGAGGGAAAAGATCAGCATGTCTATCATTCAAGGAAAACGTTATGTGAGAAGGAGGAAACAAACCAATTCATAGTACTTAGAGTTGAGTATGACGAACTCCCCTCTTGGCACGAGTTTTCGGCAAACTTTATCTGGATTATCCAGCAGGCAAGATTGGTCGCGATTACGTTACTCCGCTTGCGCAGTTTCGCTTTCTGTGGGGGGGTGTCGGTCAAGTTCAGGGCTGCCGCGCTGTCGTTCAGCTTTTGGGCTACCTCGTTCTCCTGTCCAGGTTCCAGAGAAAGTGAGTCCACGAATTCAGTGATCTCTGGGATTATTGGCCCGGGGGCAGGAGTTTGTCTGGGTGCCAAAGCGACCGCTGCAGAGTGGGCTATATTGATGAGAGCGCAGCCAATACCGAGGAGTGAGAGTACGTGGAGCCTCATGGTTTCGAGGTTGGGAGTTAGAAAGTAGGGGGAGAGTGGGGAAGGGGAAGGAGGAGGAAGGGGAGGGGGATGTCTATTCTCCTTTGTGGGAAAGAGGAGGAGAATAAGGAGAGGGAGGAGGAGGAGGGCGAGGTAGTAGATGAAGATCCGGCAGAATGGTGGGAACGGACGGGTTCTTGAAACTGGAGATCTGGGGTCCTTCATGGAGTTCTTATTCACCGCGTCCATGATGATGATGAGCACGGATATTTGGTTTTTTTTTTTGACTCCAAAGAATAAAAGGAAGGTGGAGAAAGTGCGTAGTGTGGTCCTATTCTGATGCGGTGTAAACTCACGACTATGGATGTGATGTCTGTGGGGCAGAGCTGGCGTTCTCTTCCACTCGGGAAAGGAAAGATGGCTTATTTGAAAAAGAAAAACAAAGGGCCAAGTGCTATACCGGTAGTCTTATAATATAGGAATGCAATCACCTATGCACTTTGCGAAGTTCAGTATCTTGGTAAACTACCGTGGGCGGCGGTATGAGCTTGCTGGAATTGTCTCCTAAGTTACAAGGGTAGAACGGGAAAAGGTACCAAAAAAAAAAAACCGAACACTATGAAAGAACAGATTCGCAGATGACGGCGGCGCTTACCGCTGCCCTTCTCGTTCACCCTTTCCGGCTATTTTAGAGGGGAAGTGGGTACCTGCGACAAGTGAGGAGGTGTGTTTTTCGGTGTGCCTGAGGCGCGATTTTGGTACTCGTAGATTGGTACATATGCCATGCAGAAGCTCCAAGTGCTGGATTAGGTATCATATGTCTGGAGGAAATTGCTTTGTGCGGGGGGCTTGTCTTCCCTTCTTCCGCCAACGGCCCCCCACGCATTCTGGAAGGAACACGGGAAGCGACTCGGTTTTTTTCTTTTTCTTTTTCCTTTCTGTTAATACTCCCTCTACTCATTGTGGGTGTATATAAAAAGTACTTTTACAATTACTATAGCGAGAATCATACCCTGCTAAATTACTAATGTACTCGTAACTAGCTTTGCCTTCCCCTCCCCCTCCCCTACCTCGCTATATTAACCTGAGGTAGTGAGAGTGGCATACGTGGTGGGTAGGGGTGGGAAAAGTGGGATGTGAGGTTAGTTTAGAGAGGTTATGTAGTAGAGAACAGGGTGCGAGGTTAGCTCTACCACTCTATCCTATCGTACGGTACCCTCTCCGCCAGGAATTCCCAGGTTACAGTAAAACCCTCGGAAACATTTCCATCACAGGGAGAGTCACAAGTATCATCATACTCGTACAATCCCTAGACTCCCTGCGAGTACTGTACTCGAGTACCTGAACCCTTGCATTACCTCATAGATTTACAGGTGTTGTGCCTCAGCGGGTGCAGGGTTGACCCGGAGGCGGAAGGAAACCTGCTTTTCTCACATAATTAATCAGAGAATGGTTACCCGGTAGGAATATGTTTTGGTTAACTCTCGGCCACCAATAATAGCTGAATGATTTATGGCACGAAAATAGGGTTGAATATGTCTCAACCAAGAAGCACTTGGAATTTTCTAACCTAGCCACCGGTGGAGGGGAACTCTCACCGACAACGCCATATTGATACTTGAGTACCATACGAGACAAAACAAAATGGTAGAGAGGGGAGGGTAAAGGGGTAAGGGGGAGGGGGGGGTGAATGAGAGCAACGTATAGCTGCGCTGAAAGAGCATTGGGTGGCACTGTTTCAATCAGAAGCAAATGCCCTAGCCTCTCTGAGCGAGCACATACTGTAACCGCAAACTCTGAACGCGTTTCCAGAGCTTGGGTTAGCCGCAACCATACAGATAATTTCCGCAGGGGAATTCCCTTTTCGACAGGTTGTTACGAGTAGAAGGTATGAGACACTGCATCGAAAGGGAAAAAGAGAAAAAAGAGAAAAAAAGAAAAAAAAGTTTACCGAGGGGGGATTCACTAGCAACTTGGGCGCGGTTGCTACGGCAGTGGGTATTGGTACTTTCGGAAAGAATTTGTTTTGATATCACATCACATCGGCTGGCCTTTGCTGTGCCGGAGTAGGTAGGCAGGAGCAAAACATTTGGCACTATCTCACTTCCATTTTAGTTCATTTTCCTTCCTTTTTCCCTCGCTTCTCCTCCTTTCCATCTCTCGCTTTTGGATTTACTTTCGTCCCATCATTGGGGCGTCAGCTCGATCCCTACATCCATGTGGCAGATGTGCAGTTTTCCCCAGCATGCTGTGCGACCTTCTACTCGAGTCCCTCGCAACCCCTTCTTTATTGCTTTTCCGGCTTCCAAATCCGTAAAGTGCATAATGCCTGATTGGTGCCTGTAGGACTTGCAGCTTGTTCCTTTCTTCCTTCCATTCCTTCTTTACCGCACACCTGAACCTCTGCGGACTCTACACGGCCTAGGCGGAGCCATACGGCCTTGTCTCTCGTGGCATTGAGACATCTCCGGAGTCTTGCCGTGTGATAATAAAAGACTTTAGCGAGAAAGGCTTTTTTGGAGAATCACACATATGCACTATAATGAGCTCCAAAAGGTCCAGAATGGTACGACCTTTGCGCTGCCTTGGGGTTAGGCGAGAAAAAAGGCGTAGCCAGCTGTCCAGCTGTCTGTACTCGAGTACGCGTAACTATCATAACTTCCTCCATCTTCCTCATCTAGCCTTCTCTTCTAATCATTCCGATATCTCGAGAGGAGGGGAGAGGCCGGCCAAGGCGTCTCTGGATCTGTACTGCTGCAGCAGCTCTCGCAAATAACTCATAATAATATTATCATAATCTCACTTTTTCTTTTCTCCTCATTTCATTTCTTTTTCGGTGGCAGAAAAAAAGGCGAGAGACCTCTCTGCGTATATTGTAGATTCAACCTCGATTACAGTACACTAAATCTAGCATTTACATCAAGGGAAGAAGTAAACATTGGTGGCCATTCATACTAATCATCTCGCCTCAACTTTGCACATTTAAACTGACCCTTCAACATCCCCCCCACCTCCTACATATCCCCCCCATATGCAAAAGAACAGGGCCTTGGGTGGCCATGATATCAAAGCCTCCGCTATGGATTCCACAGAGTACTGGTCGCCGAATGATACGAGTACAGTACTGTGCAAGACGCCACGGATGAGCGCCATGCATCGATTCTGCAATGGGGCAGACACGTTCATGGTGTCACAGCCTTTTGACGTACTGCACACTGCCATATTAGTGGCAAATCTCCCTCCTGGGATCCTGGTTTGGGCAGTACCGATGTACTGTTCCCTCCCATCCCTCCTCCTCCTCCTCCCTTTAGCACTGCACTGCGCGGATATCGAAGTATGACTTGTCAAATTGACGGGAGCGTGGAGCTCCCCTACCCTCCGTCCCCCACCCCCTCTCGTTGGTTGGAGATTCCGAGTCGAGGTGACAGAGCCTTGATTTTATCACTAGTCCTATCGACGTTTGATTAGCCTTTGACTAAATTAGTTCCCTCACTCCACCCCCAATCCCTCTTGGCTAGACCAACTAGTCCTAGCTCCCAGCTCTAGTTTGCAAGTCTAGCTCGCGCTTCTGCCAGAATAGTTAGCTTCGGGGGCCGACGAGGGGTGGGGGTTTACCGATCCGTTACCCGGTTTGCGGATCGCGGCTACGGTTCGGCCATGGCGCCCGGCTGTGCTTTTAGACCGACACAGCTGTTAACCTAAGTCGGGCGAATGGCTTTCCGTCGCTGCCTTCTTTCCCCTTGTACGATAGTCATTTTTCGCTTCCCAAGCGTGCGCGCGCGCGCGCGTATTTTGGCATCTCACTGGCACGTACATTCCAACACTAACTTCCAGTACCGTAGAGTTTCATTTGAATGATTCATTTTTGTTTCGAAAAATGTACCCTTACACCCTGCACCCTAAAGACGAAACAAGATAGAGAGACACGAGCGATAAAAAAAAGGAAAGAAAAAAAGAAAATAAATAAATATCGATCAGCCTGTTCTCGTGGTTGTTTTACTCGTGACTCTTCCATTCCCATGATTCAACCCACCCCCTTCCCCGGATCCACCCCCCAATATTCTATATCCAAGCCCAGCCCAGCCCTATCCTTACCTCCACTCCCCACCCCCACCACCTCAGGTGATAAACGTAATTCCCTCATCCAAGACCCTTCTCCTCTTTTTCTTACTCCTTCCGCGCCATCATCATATCTCTCTTTCAGAATTTCGCAAAGAAACTCTGATAAGCCAACTCAGCAAATGCGACCAAGGTGACATACTTGCCGAAATTGATATTCTGCTTGAAAATCTTCCCACCGGATGTTCGGTCCTTGAGGTCCAGCTGAGCAATCTGGTATGGAATGAGGAACGCCCACACGCCAATAGCGAAGGTCCAGAAAATGTAGCTGACGTTAGACGCGTGCGCGGAGAGACCAAGAAGGCCGATGATGAGGATCCCCAGGAGGGCCAGGAATGGGTGGATGCTGGTTCCCAGCCAGATTGGCAGTGACTTTACACCAATTTTCTTATCCTCTTCGGCGTCCTGTTGTTATTATTAGTTAGGTATTCAGGTACGGTCAGTAGTATATATTTATAGAAGTGGTTAATCACCTGAGACCCATAGCAAGTATCATAATATAGCGTCCAGCAGCTTGTGGCCAGGAACAATGGAATGCACTTCTCCAAGTCGTTGAGGCTACCGGCCATAGCTGCCCACCCGATGAATGTAGTCCAGCCTACCGCCGGTGCGAGTACTAGTTGCGGCCAGGGGATCAATTGCTTCATGTAGGGGTATATCGCGTTGAGGAAGTACATTGGGATCGATAACAATAGGGTGTCCCATCCCAGGCAGTAGTGTGTTAGTGCCGACGCGAGGGCGGTAAGGAAGGCACAGGAGACTAGGGCTCCCTGTACCGAGATTCGGCCCGATGGGAGGGGTCGGTATTTGGTGCGCTCTACCCCGGCGTCGACGTGTCGGTCTATGATATCACTAATTAGGCTAAGTTAGTTACTGTTGCGGTAATAATTAATATAGGGGGG